TTCCCCCGGGCTCTCCCCACGGCCCAGCCTATCCCCAACCCTCTGCTCTGCAAAATCCACCTCTACTCCTCCCTTTTCCTCCCCTCCACTCCTCTCACATTAAAAGCAGGCAGCTGCCCTTCTGGAGTGTGGTGCAGCTCGCGGACCAACTCCATGACCTTTTCACAGAACATGGCGGGTGCACCCGGTCTCGCTGACTCGTCCACTGTCCGATCACAAGCTAAACAGTCCCCGAGCCCACGGAACCCTCACGCCTACCCGCTCCTCTTTCCTCAACTCCTGCTCCTCCCTTCCGTAACCGGTTTGGGCTTTGGCGCTGAACACACCCAACCAATGAGGACGCGTGCTCACACCAAACTGGATATGGTGGCTGAAGAGGGACATTTGCCTCCGCTGAAGAGGGATATTTGCCTCCGCTGTGCAACCTAACTACGAGAAGCCAAAAACAAACCCAATGCCCTGGAGTGGGATCCGATTCATAGCAACCCCTCCTTGGGTTTTCCAGGCGGTATTACTATGGTAATAGATTGCCCCATTTTCCTTCTGAGGAGTGGCTGATGGGTTTGAACCTCTAACCTTCTGGTTAACAGTCAAATGCATTGGGCACTATGCCAGCAGAGCTCCCAACTACAGGAAGGGCAGGGCTAGATTGGCCTCTTCAGAATAGGAACCTTGCCTCTGGAAAACAGTCAGTGGGGGTCGACCTGCTTAGCTGCGCAGAAACTTTTTGAATTCCAAGGCTGGCAGCTCTGTGTGCAACACGCCCCCCAGCTTCCATTTTTTTTCTCGATTTGATGCATTCATTTTCAGTAAGACTCAAAGATGCACTTTGAGACTGAGAGCGAAGGACCAGAAAAACTTGGTGTCTATTAGTATTATGATGCAGTGTATCTTTGATAGTAAAGCAAAAACCAACTTTTATTGGGTACACCCTAAGTGCAAGGTACTGCGACACATACTTCGATTTAATTATCATGATTATCTATGAAAGTGGTTTATTAAGACTCATTCTATTGATTAAGAAACAGCCCTTAAAGTGATACTCAGGATTTAATTTTTTCCGTATTTAATCAGTCATCTAAAATGTTTGTAAAATATCCTTTGTCATCAGGTCTACCAAAACAGAAAAACCCACATTGCCTTCTAATCGATTCTGACTCAGTGGTGACCCTATGGGATAGAGTTGAACCGCCCCTCCACAGGTCTGCAGAAGTCGGGGGGG